CTTGTTCAAACATGAAGTTCCAAAGCCCGTTAGGCCACCTAGTTTTTTAATGGTTGCAAGAAACTTTGGATTAGTGAATAGTGATTAATGAACAACTTTTGTGATTAACTTTTCATTTAAATTTTATCATAGGAGATGGCTGAAATGATGTTCAATTTATGACTGTTTTTAAAATTAGCAAGATTTTATCACAGGGATGAACTTAGAACCGAAACCGACCCAAACCGACCCAACCCGACTCAAACCGACCAAGTCGGTTTTGCTTAACACTGGATCGGTTTCAGTTTCTATGTCAGGTAACCCGACCAGGTCGGGTCGGTTGGAAAAATTACAATAAACCGACCCAACCCGACCCATGAACAGCCCTATCGCTAAGTGGGGAATGGACCTCCTCAACCCTTTCCCACAAGCGACGGGGGGCAGGAAGTACTTTGTCTTCACCGTGGACTACTTCACGAAGTGGGTCGAATGGGCCCTTCAGCCCCTTCAGCTCTCTCGGGGAGTCCCTGTACTAATGGAGCAACTGATGAAGGCTCGGATGGGCGCTCCCCAGGCGTGGACATCCGCACCACCTCCTCTGCCTATCGCTCCGTGTTGGCCACCTTCCGCGGCGGCTCCTCCCTCGGCGTATCTACGGCAGGCCTCTTTCAACCCTCCTCGGCCCCGTCTATGGGCTTCTTCAGCACCTCAGCCCTATTAGTGGGCCTATTCACCCCATTGGTAACCTCCTGGGGTGCCACCATTGGTTGTTTCCCCTTAGTGGGGACCTGCGGATTTCCCCCCTTCGCTAGGACAAGGGGGCAACCTCGTCGCCGGGCCGATTCGGCGTCTGCCCTCCGGCTTTCTTCCCGGCCTGCTTCGCCTGGGCCTTCTCGAGCAAGCACTGCTGGGCATCCATGGGCACTTCTACGAAACAACAAAAGAAAACAATCAATACACTAAAGCAAAAACGTGGAAGACATTCTATGTAACCACAAAACCTCTTTTACCGAGAGGGGCAGGGCTAATCCCAACGAAGACTAGGGGAACCTCCTCCTCCACCAACGACTTCGCTTGGTATGTCCCCATCACTAGCAAATGAGCTACAGATGCAACCTCTTCATCTCGGAGCGGAGGGGGACATCTCTCGACGATTACGCAGGCCTCCCCCCAATCAGACTTGAACCGCCAGCCCTCGGGGTAGGAGACGTAGAAGAATTTGTCCTTCCACCCATGGACGGATGAGGGGTTATGCACTTGCTTCCCCCTTTGAGGGTGAAAGTAATACATGTTGGCCTCGGAAGCATGCTTCCTCGGTGAAGACATGGCACGAAACATCCTCAACGTCAACTCCACACCCCTAAGCCGAACCCATACTATCATCGCTATGATGGTCCTAAGGGCGTTGGGCACAAGTTGACTGATAGTTATACCGTACCACTCCAGTAACTCGAAGATTGAAGAAGAGAGGGGAAACCTAAGGCCAAACTCAAAAAAATGCTGGTAGACACAGATTTCCCCCTCCTTAGGGGTCCACGACCTACCACCCACATCGAGGACCCTAAGGTCATAAGACCGGGGTATGTAGAACCTCCTCGCCAGGGATTTGACCTGGCCTACATCCAAGGAGCTTTCAAACTCCGAACGCGGAACACCAGCGTCAGCCACCCTTTGGGTAGCACTCCCTCCCACTGGTCTGGCGACGACCTCCATGACATCCTCCTTGGAGCAAGGAGACCCTTCGGGCTCTCTTGGCAACGCCGATGCAGCGCTTTCATGGGGAGAGTTATTACCTTGGTGGCAGCCCTCGGTGCCCCTTGAGGCTAACCTTTCCCTTAATATGACCACCTCCTGCCGAAGGGGGGCTACGGCTAAAGAACCTAGGGAAGATAGAGGAAAAGGGGTTTCAAGGGAGCTCCCTCCCAAGGTGTTCGAGAGTTCATGGCATTTAGGGATGGAGTTCGAGAACAACATAGTTGATTACCTAAGGAGGTGAAGACGAGATGTTCTGAAGGGTGGAGAAGCTGGGAAAGTCCTGAAGGATCAAGAGCTATGGAGTTGAGTTCACTCGATAACAAGGGCGTCTAAATCCAAATTAAGGGGAAAGTCACCACCAAGGCCCCTATTTAAAAGAGAATGGATGGCCTAGATCTCACTAAATCCGACGGCTGAGGCACCTCCACTTCCACCATCCAATTACAATGTGCCACCCGACGCTCGTCCTCGTAAGGCGAAATGACGCCCAAGCAATGGTTCAGATCACCACAGATCCAATGATCACAAGAACCCTCCGCTTCTGTGAACCAGTTTTATTGCACCTTTTAGCGGATGCCCTTGGAAGATGAAACGACGCCGGGTGGACCATGAAGCTCTATTGTTGCAACCTACTGGGCGAACCACAAAGCCTGCCCATCGCGAACCACCGGGCAGACCGCTCAACCCGGCAAATGCGCGTCTACCGGAGTGACCGCCTTCCGCACAGTAGGCCCTCTGACGTGACCTGACCGTGCGTGATACGGGACATCTTCGCTAAATCGAGGCATCCGCACCACACGTGTCTCCGAACCGTCGAGGGATGACGCACACAAAGTGAAAGCGATGCCACTGCAGGACACCCCCAGTTGACGAATCTGAAGGCATGGTGACTGCTACTCCCGATGACCGAAGCCGAGGCCTTACCCCGACTATTACCTTCATTACCAGCTGAAGCCAAGGCCTCACCTCGGCCTCGGGAGTGAGGGGCAAATGATTTGGGCTAGCCAGGCCCAACTCATTATGGGCTGGGAGGCCCAGCCCATTAACGCCTGACAACACCTACCACAGCAAGGGGGAGGCCCTGCTGCCTTCGTACAGAACCAACCGCAGGGCGTTCAAACGTACCTGCCAGGGCCTACCGCCCGACCTCGCACAACCCTCATCTGGTGCGTTCATCTTCACCTACCTCCAATCCGCTCAAGTATAAATAAGAGGTAACTCTCCCTTTACTGGGGGCTAGAACCCATGATTCTGATACAACTCTTTCATTTACTTTCCACACCTACCTTGCTCCTAGGGGTGTTCACGGGTCGGGTTGGATCGGTTTCTTGGGATTTTCCCAACCGACCCGATCTGGTCGGGTTAGCTAAGGTGGGAACCGAAACCGACCCACTGACAGGCCAAACCGACCTGGTCGGTTTGAGTCGGGTTGGGTCAGTTTGGGTCATTTTCGATTTTGCTCCTGTACAAAGCCAAATAAAATCTGAATTAGTTGATAATTTGATATTCAAGAGTCCAAGATAAATCTAAATTTAATTCAGGTAAAGAATAAAATCAATAAATTCTTCATGTAAAAACAAGTGTCAATAATGGGCCTTCTAGAGTAAGAAAACGAGGTAAATCTAGGTAGGTAAATCAATAAAATAAAAATTTAGAAACCTTCTAAATTCTAATATAGGTAAAAACTAAAAAAGGACACCTAATTAAATTCTAATTGTAATTGCCTAATGGGCCTTCTAGTATAAATCTAAAAGTAGAAGACTATTAGGAATTAGGAAACTACTCAAACTAGGAAGTAGGAACTACCAAACTAGTAGAATACTAGTTCGGTTAATGTCAGGTTGGTTTCGGTTTTCATGCAAGAAAACCGAAACCAATCTGAGATTTCGGTTTTCATGCAAGAAAACCGAAACCAATCTGAGATTTCGGTTTATGTATGTGCCCAACCCGAAACCGACCGGTACGGATGAAAACCCGACCGACTCGGGTTGGGTCGGTTTGGTTGGGTTGGGCATTATTATGAACAACCCTACTTGCTCCCTTAGCATTTATTATCGGGGACCCAGTGCATCCGAGGACTATCACCAAGACCTCGTCTACACCTCCCCCTATCTTACACCTCGTACTAACTTGAGCATCGGAGTTCCCACCTCGGGTCTTCACCCGAGGCCTCTGACACCTCTTGTTTTGCAGTACCTTGGATCTCCAGGAACCTCGTCATTGAGACGAAGACCTATAGTCCTCAGCTTCTACCGTACTCAGGAGGGAACACTTCGCCTTGGCCTACAGTCTTCGGCCTTAGCTTACCTCTTCCGAGACCTTAAAGCCTTCGATCTACCTTCGGAACTTAGAGAGTGAATTTACCTTGTTGTCCCCTGCTAATTCGTGCGGCAACAATTTGGTATGCAAATACCAACAAATTCAAAGTCAAATTTTAGACTGAACTCTTAAGTCCGCTAGATTGATATAGGTTAAAGATAAAGTACAAAGGATTTAACAGAATTTAGACAACTTCAACGAGGGGAATAACCTAATAAAAGAGCTGCAAAATGAAAATATGAAGTGCATACCTATTCATGCATCGGATATTGATTCCAACTAGAAAATGATAGAGGTGTGGAGCTTGGATTTACTTATAGGTTACAGCAGCTAGCGGCATGAAGGCAGTAACCTTAGTAGCAACAAAGCACGGACACAAGACTAAAAAACGGAAAAACTGAATAGCACCATTCATGGCAAGAAAAATTAGAAGAGCCTATTAGTGCTGGTGCACCATTGATTGTGTTTACCTGACAATTGACAACAACTATTTTACAATGGCAAGGGTTGGAGAGGATTAAGAGGAGAAACAAGACTAGGGGTTAGAATATTAGGGGCCTGTTCGTTTGTTCTTAAGTCTGATATTTGAAAGTGCAATAATTACATTAAGAGTTATATTGGTATTGGTGAATTCTTTTCTTTAAACTCTCTGAATGTTGTTCTTAGTTATGAAAATTATCAAATATCCAATTTGACCTATATATGAGAGTTTTTGTTTCTTTTTGAGGGTATCATTAGAAAACAAAAAATTATATGATTGCACTTTAAGGTTATGTTTAATTAGAAGTCCTCCAAACCAAACATAGCCTAAGAGATAAGAGGAAATGAATAACCATTTTTTTTTAAATAAAAAGATTTATCTTAAGAAATAAGAATTAAGAGGAAACAAACTTGCCCTAGATTTCAAAACTGTAAGATAGTGATTAGGAGCAAGTAGGGGTGTGAAATCTTAATGCGGGAACGGGATCTGCTCGTCACACATGAGTAGGATGTGCGTGTGAGGCGCCTTGCGTGACGAGTAGATCCGGTCTCCTTAATGCGCGCTGCGATGTGCATGTGAGGCGCTGATGTGATCTGCTTGTTGAAAACCCGTTTCAATTTGTTCTTCCCGATGTGCGGATAAAGATGTGTTGTGACTGTGAGGTTGGTGTAAGTAGAGATCCGGACTCTGGATTGAGGTGGAAAAGTCCGCTGGTGCTGGTCGTATTCCACGCACGACTTTGACAGATATTTTGTGATTGTTCTGATTGGATTCACATGCCACGAGAATCGGCCAATCAGGACGTGATGGACTTCAATGGTGCTTGACCTAATTGCAGACAAGTAAAAGGGTCCTAAATTTGCAATACAGTCTTGCTGCTTCACTCTGTCCAGTTCGTCAAGTTCAGTGCGAGAGCAAGAGAGAGAGAGAGAGAGCGATCAGACAAAATGGGGGAATCGAAGACTGTTCATTCACCATTGATCACTTATGTTTCCATGCTTTCTCTTCTCACCTTATGTCCTCCTTTCGTTATTCTTCTGTAAGTGTCTCACTCTCATTTTCTGTACATCCAGTTTCTTTCTCTCTAACATCATTGATTGGTTTACGTCACTGGTTTCCTTTAGTGTTTTTTTTTTTTCCCAAATGACGTCGATTTGTTTGAATTTTGAGGCATATCTTTGCTTATTTCATGACCTGGATGGCTTTGCTCTCTCTCGTTCTTTACTTGTCACTTAGATCTCTGCAATTTTGATTTCTTTGTGAAGAAGAAAACAAACTGTTGATACTTGCAACTTTTATTCGTTATAGTTCAAACTTTCCTTAGTACTTACTGTATTGTTTCATCGAGTTAAAACAGTGAACATTTTTCTGCAATCGTTTTTGGTTGATTTTGAGACGAAGATACATGGAATTGCCACTTTTACTTTAAGTTCTATGTATTATTTTTACTAGGATCGAATCAGTTAGAATTTATGCGAGAAAATAGCTGAAGGGATGGATCCTAACTGAAATGTTACTCGTGTTTTGAGCTAATCTAACACTGAACTTTTAAGCTTAACGGTATTTGTTTGAAACTAAACTACGGAATTTTGTTGCTATTTTCTAAAATGCAGATGGTATACGATGGTCCATGCTGATGGGTCTGTTTCTCAGACTTGGGATTACTTTAAGCAACATGGTTTTCAGGGTTTCAAGAACACTTGGCCAAAACCGACTGCTATTGCTTGGAAGATCATTGCATGCTTTGCAGTGTTTGAAGCTGTGCTTCAGCTCTTTCTACCTGGGAAAAGAGTTGAGGGCCCCATTTCACCTGCGGGGAATCGACCTGTCTACAAGGTAGTGATTTTTTCTGATAGTAAAACAGAAATTTTAATCCAGTACAAGTGCAACCAACTAGGTGAAGAGTTTTCACCAAAACAAGAAAAATTGAATACAATTGAATCCAGTACGGTGTCTAAATCCAAAGATGTCCACAATGTCTCCTCTAAATCTACAAGGTATTAATTGCTCCCCAATTGTATATAACTGTTTATTGTTTTACCAGTCTGTGATTCTATAGCTGTAAACCAAGTGATAGTTTTTGACGTGATTCCTGATTATCTGAGAAGGTTTTCTTCTTCATTAACTTTTTAATCAGTGATTCATTACGAAGCATTTTTCTGCATGTACTTGTTTTTTTTCCTAATTGGAACTGTAATTGCATTTTCTATGGACAATTCTGATAGTATTGAATTTATAACTTCAGCTTATTGAGATTTATGTGAGTTCTAACAGAGAATTTGGTTATTAATGAGAATGCTGATCAAAATACTTCAAAAACTGGAATACATTTTCTTTTTATTTCCTTTTGTTTTTCTTTTCATGTTCCTTTCTATTTATTTTAATCAGTCTAAGGCATTGCTAAATTAAAGGTCTTTCTCGTCTCAACTTTGAGATTACACTGGTACATGAGATTTATGCTTTTCTTCTTAATGTAGGCAAATGGCTTGGCAGCATATGCAGTAACATTGATTACATACCTCGGCCTTTGGTGGTAAGTCAGCTCAGTCTTATCCCAACTATATGGGGTCAGCTACATGAATCCTGTTTTGCCATTCTGTTCTTTTTAGTGCCATATTCATTGTTAAATTATGAGTGCTTAGGTCTTTGTTTGCTACTTTACTTCAACCCATGTCCTTTTTGATCTTCTCCCTAGCCTTTCTATCCCCTTCAAGTTGGTGATAAGTGCTTCCCCATAAATTTGAGGTGTTTTACATTGTTAAGGAGTTGGGTGCCTTTCATGCATCATACTTGGGGAATCTGCACCCTGATACCGTTTTTATCTATATGTTTTCTAAATTCTCATAAGACATTTTGATACTACATCTATACTTTCTTTCAAAGTTATTTAAAAATCTATATGGATTGGGGATGAATATAAATCTGCTTTGGCAAAAGATAGATGATGATTGATCTGAATCTGATGCAGTAAGCTCTGTTTATTGCTTGTTTGTTTATCAAATTAAGAGATCAAGTAGTTAATATTATAAAGGTTTCCAAACTGGAATATTGGACATGGGACTTGACTCAAGTTTCTTGAAGATTCTACACTGTGCTTTTGTCTTCTGATAGAGCCAAGTGTATGGAAAGACAGAGAAACACCAATTGGGCAAAAAAGTAACCACAAAGAAAAATTCTCTAGGATCCTTTTGTTTTTGATTGATAGAGATGCTGCATATTAATATAAGAAAAAACATGTGTACAGGATGAATCTAAAAGGGGAGGCATGAGCAGCACAAGAATAAACCTTCCCATGCAACCTGAAAGACTTTCTTTGACAAAATGTCGGTCTGCTTCAATATGCTTAGTTCTGTCACGCTGTACCGGATTATGAGCTATATTAATAGCAGCCTAATTATCACAATACAATATTAAGGGCTTCTCATAAGTAATACCCAACTCCTCAAATAGTGATTTCAACTATAGTATTTCACCACACCATTAGCCATGAACATGTATTTAGCTTCTGCACTAGAACGAGAAACAACATTTTGCTTCTTACTCCTCCAGGAGGTCGGGTTACCTCCTACAAAAGCACAATATCCAGAGGTAGACCTTCTATCATCAATACTCCTGGCTCAGTCAGCATCTATATAAACCTCTATCTTCATGTGATTATTATTCTTGAATAGTATACCTCTACCTGGGCACCTCCTTAAATATGCTAATATCCTCTCAACTGCAAGTAAGTGAGTAGTCCTAGGAGAGTGCATATACTGACTGACAACGTTGATCGCATAACTGATGTCTGGTCGTGTGAGACAAAGATAGAGGAGTTTTCCAACTAACTGCTGGAACATAGCTTTATCTTCAAGTAGCTCTTCACCCTTTGCACTAATCTTGTAATTCTGTTCAATAGGTGTATCTGTAGGCTTAACACCTAACTTTGTAGTTTCTTCCAACAAATCTAGAACATACTTTCTTTGGGAGACTCCCAGATCTTTCACCTCAAATTCTTGATGAAGGAGTTGTTTGAGAGACTCAATCTCACCATTATCATTCCTTGTCACTACAATATCATCCACGTATACAGCAAGCAAGGTCAAGGAAGAGTCCACTCTCTTAATGAACAATGTATGGTTTAACTGGGCCTGTACATAGCTGAACCTTTCAAGGGCTTGTCTGAATCTATCAAACCAAGCTCTGGGGGACTATTTTAGTCCATACAAAGCTTTATTCAACCGGCAAACCTTCTTTCCTGTGTCTGCATCATAAAATCCAGGAGGCAACTGCATGTAGACTTCTTCCTGCAAGTCTCCATTGAGAAAAACATTTTTGACATCCATCTGGAACAAGGGCCAAGAGTAACTGGCTGCAAGGGGCAATAAAACTCTAATAGTGGTCATCTTTGCTACTGGAGCAAAAGTCTTCAAGTAGTCTATACCATAAGTCTGAGTAAATCCCTTTGCAACTAACCGAGCTTTATACCTTTCAATGGAACCATCAGCATTATGTTTCACAGTAAATACCCATCTACATCCAACCGGTTTCTTCCCTTTAGGCTGGTCAACTAGCTCCCAAGTATTATTCCTCAGAAGAGCATCCATTTCAACCTTCATTGCATCTTTCCACTCAGGAACTGACAAGGCCTCTCTGGGGATAGGAATATCAGCAATAGATGTGAGGAAGGACCAGTAAGAGGGGGACAAGTGATCATAGGACAAGAATTGGGAAATGCAGTGGGTTGTGGATGTGGTGTAACGTCGTTTGCCTTTACGGACTGTAATGGGGAGGTCAAGGTCATCCAAAGGAAGTAAGGGCTCAACAGTGGAAAGTATCTCAGTGGAACCCAGATCCGATAAAGGAACTGTAGTACCTGGATTTGAATCCGCAGAAGGAACTGGGGCTGGCCTGGATTGCTGATGACTGAAATCAACCTACCTCCACTGTCTGTGATAGATTCTCAAATCCCGGCACCTCTGACACCTCTCCCCATTACATCCCTCATCACTCAATGGAACAGGTAAAGGAACTTCTGATGAGTTAACCCCACACTCACTACTCTCCCCTTTAGGAGAAACCCTAGGATAATAGGGTGCATCCTTGAAGAAAGTAACATCCATAGAGACAAATCTTTTCTTAGAAGTGGGTTCATAGCAGCAATATCCCTTTTGAGTTTGTGCATAACCGAGAGGAATACATTTGGAGGCCTTAGGATCAAATTTGGAACGATGAGGTCCAAGAATCTGAACAAAGAAAGTACAACCAAAGGTTTTAAGGGAAATAACAAACAAGTCTTTATCAGGGTATAGGAGGGTAAATGGAGGCTTCATGTCAAGAAACCGTGAAGGAACTTGGTTAATGAGATACACTGCTGTAAGAATAGCATCTCCCTAGAAACGAATAGACACATTGGAGTTAAACATGATGTTTCTGGCCACCTCCAATGCCTATTCTTCCTCTCAGCAACCCCATTCTGCTGTGGTGTGTGAGGGCAAGTACTTTGGTGGATAATCCCATGGTCAAGCAAATAGGAGGCTAATTGGTTGGCAAAGTATTATTTCGCATTATCGGATCTGAAGATTTTGATTTTGACCCCAAATTGGGTTAAAATCATCTGATGAAAGATCCGGGTCAAAGTAGGAACCTCATCTCGAGAACGCATAGGGTAAACCCAAGAAAACCGGGTATAGTCATCAATAAACAACAAGAAATATCTGTACCCCCATAGCAGTGATGTGATAAGGACCCCAAACATCGGTATGCACAATATCAAAAGGATTATTACTTCTTTTTTTACTCAATGAATAAGATGTTCTACAATGCTTTGCAAGCTCACAACTCTCACATATCAAATTGGACATCTGAACAAACTCAAATAAATTAGGAAACAAACTCTTAAAAGACCGAAAAGATAAATGACCCAACTGATTATGCCAAAGCATAACTTGACTAACAGATTGAGAAACAAAAGACTTCATATCTTCATTATCTTCCCAATGTGAACTCTCTCCAAGCAGATAGATCCCCTTCGTCTCACGGCCAGTCCCAATCACCTTCCTTGTCTCAAAGTCCTGAAAAACACATCGGCCAGGGAAAAAGGTTACTGAACAATTCTGATGTTTTGTAATGCTACTGACTGAAAGCAAATTAGTATTAAGCTTAGGAACATGCAGAACTGAAGATAAGTGATAGGTAGTGAACAGTGATGGCAAGCTAGTCATATGGTTAGATGCACCTGAGTCTATTACCCAACAATGTTCAGTGTTACCTGGAGCTGAAGCATGATAAGCTAAGGCCCAAGTACCTGAATAAGCAAAAGCTGATGTGGGAGCTGATGGTGGCTGAGATGATTGAGCTGAATTGCCAACTTCCTTTTCCAACTGAGTCAGGGCAGCCCGGACAGCAGCTAGGGTGTCTAGGGGTGCCTTTTGTGCCCGATGAAGAGGCACAATCAGTATTAATAGCCATATTAGCATTACCCCTTTTGTTCATGAGTTTTGCTGGGACTAAATGAGGGTGCAGTTTCCAATAGGTGCCTTTAGTATGCTTGGGTTTCTTGCAATGTTCACATTACTAGATCCTGCTTATTTTCCTTCTTTATATTCCTCTCCATATCACCCCCGGACTTAGGTTTGACTGCTGCCAAGGCTGGTGGGAAGGGCTGATGCTGCAACATAACCTTTCTCCTAGTCTCTTCACTGTGCACTAAGGAGTAGGCTTGCGATAGGGTCATACTGTCTCTTGTCAGTAGTTGCTGTCTCACAATATCGTATTCAGGATTCAGACCAGCTAGGAACTCAAAAACCCTATTAGTCTCAACCTGCTTTCTATGAGTTTGTGCATCCTTCTGGCTTTCCCACTCAAGTGTTTCTAGGTGGTCAATTTCATGCCACAAAGATTTTAGTGTAGAGAAGTAAACCGAGACTGGTTTCTCCCCTTGCTTAAGGTTGTTAACCTCATATTTCAGTTCATAAGCCCTAGCAACAATAAGGGGTTGGGAGTAGGTCTCTTTCATGACATCCCAGATTTCCTTAGCTGTTTTCGCCCACAAATAGTTCCGGCTGATATGTGGATGCATAGAGTTGCACAGCCATGTCATAACCAAATAGTTCTCTTGAACCCATTTGGTATAGGTTTGGTCTTCCTTAGTTGGTTCTTTCACATCTCCCAACAAGTAGCTCAGTTTTCCCCTACCCCCAATGGCCATCATGGACGATTGAGCCCATTCTAGGTAGTTTGATCCATCAAACTTAACTGTTGTAATCTGAAAGGTATTTTCAAACATGTTACCAGAATTGCTAGTCCCAAAAACACCTTCTCCTTGACTCCTGAACTCCATTCTTGATCAAGAATTAATAAAAAAAACTTTTTTAATTACTGTAATAGGAGAAACAACACCCAAACAACTTATAACAACTGGTCTAGTTCTTCCAAAGAACACAAAAAACAGAATTCTGAATGAAACCAGTCCAAATTCTGATCTGAAACAAATAACAGTTCTGAATTTTAGGGTTTTCTCTCAAAACCCTAAAGAAAACACAAAGATTCTGAAGCCGCACCTCTCAGACTAAACCAAGATTATCTTTTCTGAATAGAATCACAAGAAAAAGCTTACTTTTTGAAAAAATCTCTGGCTGCCACCTTCTGGTTGATGCAAAACCCTAATCTTGAGGATCCAAAGCTTCTTCTGATTCTTCCTGATTACTGGAACTCTCCCAGACTTCTACAATCTGTTTAGTAGCAGCCGCACACTACCAATAACCTCCAAAGATCAGCCGATCCTCCTTCCTTGTTGAAAAACTTCCAAACCTAGGTGGTTCTCATGCAGTCGGCCTAATCAGACTAGCATAAGAGTTCCTAGGTCGGCTTTAATACCAAGTAGTCGATCTAGACTACAATCAGTCTTGAATTAAAAAGAAAAAAAGATGAAAAATTGAAGATAAGAAGAAGAGAAGAGAGGAAGAGAAGTACACGAAGAGAGTTTCAGGAAAGAGAGAATAGGTCATAATTTCTGCCGACCCTCTCTTAGTATTAATAACTATTGTCTAACTGTAAAAGGGCTGAATTGCCCTTATTGCTTACATGGAAAATAGAATAAGAAATAACTAATAATAAAGCTGAAATAACTACCAACTAACGCTGTCATATCTAACAGAAATATTGCTGCCATACAACACTGTGGGGACCACATCAGTGTTCTTCACATAAAGAAAAATTGCACCGGCCTTAATTTTATTACCCACCTCCAACCCCTGCAGTAACTTCTTCCTCTCCACATAGATTCCTTCTCTCCTTCTAGATTTGCTACCTTTTCCTCTCTGTCCTCTCTCTCTCTCTCTCACTCCCCTTCCCTATGTAATTAGACAGAACACTAAAAGAAAACAATGAATCCCTGAAGCAAGCTGAATTGTAGCACTACTAGGAATCCCTTACAATGCAGTAAACCACCAAAATGGGAAGCTTTCCAAGGATCCTTTACCATTGAGCCTGATGAATCAATTTCTCCTGAAAAGCTCCCAAACATGTTCCAGAAATCCATAGACTTCTCCCCTTTGGAAAGATTTAAGTGGACAAACTAACATTGACAGACATAGATGGGGTATAAAAAGGAAAAGAATTTGCTTAGCATGCCAATAGCATCAAGTCGCAGCACAAGGTAACTCCCTTTGAAAAGCATCGTGCTTTACCCATATTCATATCTCAGGAAATGCTTTGATTCTATGAGATGATATATTAAGGATTTGCACTATAGGTTTTGTTTTTGCTGTTAGTTCATCTGACAGGACTTGATATTAGAACAATAATTAGTATATGTGCTTGGTTATATAGAACTACAGTTGGTGTGTATTAATTATCTATTCTTTTTTCCTTTTCCTTTGCCCTTATTCTTTTCTCCCCAATTTTCATTGATGAGTTTGATATTTGTTATTGTAGTAATTGATGTTTAGGTTTGTTGGTCATCAAATCAACCCAGTGATTGCATGCCTTAGGTGTGCCTAGGTGCATAGGCAAGGTGCATTTTGGGGTATGTGCCTTGCGTAGGCCCAGGTGCAGCGCCTTTGAACAAGTGTGCACCTAGTGTGCTCTATGCCTCAATAGGGGTGGACTCGAGTTGACCTGAGCTGAATATCTAGCTATTCGAGCCTGGCTTGCCAAAAAACTATGAGGCTCAAGCTCAAGCTTGATTCGAGCTAGAGACTTGAACTTGAATTCTACTCAACTCAAAAGCTTGTAAGTTTGAGCTTGGCTCAGCTTGAGCTCGATTGTGAGCCAAACTTCCTATAAAAATAAAATGTTATACGTATAAAAAATTATTTTTTATTTTACAAATAAAAAATTAAGAATTATAAAAACTAGTTATCATTATACATATAAAAAATAAGAATATTATATATATAACATTTTTATTTTTAATTCATATATTTCTATATATATTATTTTGTATATGTATAATATTTTTATATTTATTATTTTTTTATATGTGTATATATACATACATAGCTCAACTCGAAGCTCAGTTTAGATCAATCTGAATCGAGCTTTTCACGACCTGAGCTCGAATAGCTCATGAAAAGCTCTATTCATGTCCATCCCTATGCCTCAGCTCAGGTGTGTGATTTTGTTAATTCTTGCGCATTTTTTGTCTTGAAGCACGGAAGCTGGGCCAACTGCTGAGGGCTTGGTGCAAATGTGGCTTGTAGAGTTAGGAAAGAAATATGTTTAACATCATATTATCTATTTGGAATAGTTCAATTAGGAAAGAAATAAAGAAATGGAAAGTTTGACATGCTTGGATATGTTTTATATGCTATATTTGATTTTATTGCTTGTATTTTCACTTTGAATATGTTTTATATATTATGGTTATGTATTTTTATTTGAATTGATAAGCTTTTTAAAATATTTAACTTAAATTTAAAGTTTGTATTTTTAATTTATATTATTTTTAATGTTTTCTTAATTTATTTTTCTTTTTTTGCAAAATTTACATATTTTTTGATTTATTTTTAAAATTTTGCACCTTGCTTGAAAAAGGTGAATGCTTCACCTTGCACCTTGTGTCTTGGGGGCAAAATGCCCTTTGTGCTTTTAAAGCACTGAATAAACCCTGTAACACTTTTAAAACACTGAATTAACTGTGTTACACTGGTTCTACTCATTAGGCAGTCACTCTTGCTTATATTGCCACTTTCTCCATGAACATTTTATTCTTCAATGTGTTCTCTATGTAATAACTGTGCAACACTGATTCTTTGCTCATTTAGTATTCTACTTGTATTAAAACTTAACTGCTAATATTTCAGTCATTCTGGAATGTCATCCTCATTCTGTTTTTCTATTTAACGAGGGTGTGTAGTGTTCAATTCTAATATAGGGTGCTTGGCATGGTGACTCAAGAAGAGATAAAGCAGAATTTTCTACTGAAGAAGCTTTTGCATCTAGTTTCTAATGAGCAAGAGATGGTGTCTGACACATGTAGCTTCCAGAAAATGGAGCTTCTTTATCACATATATATTTTTATTGTTTATGTTTTTACTGGTGTTTATTTCGACTGTTTATCTGAGGTTGCGTGACCTTCCAGAAATACGGTATATACTGAACAATTTTTATTAATGTAAGAAATAGTTTATGAACAATATTGCATCATCTTTGAGTTTGGGATGGCCAATTAGCGTCTACATACATCAATATCTTCACCCACACCCCAAAACACACCTTGTTTTGCAAAGTTTCTGCGAAACCATTGTCTGATCTGCATGCCCTTGTTGAAGAGATGCTGCTATTCCTTTCGAGTTTCTATATCTCTTTCATATACTTCCTATACTGAAAGGGGGCCTTGCCCTCGTTTTGAATCCATTCCACCACCACTTGAGTCTCCCTCAATCAAAAAGTTATAGTTCATCACTTTTTCTAGCCGCAATCCTTGTGGAACTGTATGGTTTTGCTCTAATTGAACTCCCTTGGCCTACTGGTCCAGAAAAAAAGTTCCATAATGTCTCTCTTGGTCTTTAGATACTCCTCTTATCCCTGATAGGCTCTGGTAACTCTACTGCATCCATCAAAGTTTAACTTGAATGAATGTACTGGAGGAGGTTCTCATTAGGAGGATGCTGTAGTCCTTGAAGTGGAAGAAGTAGCCACCTAGTGCCACCCACGGATGATGTCATCAGTTGCAGTACAGCCCTGCCATTGAACAGCCCCAATGTTTTCACCAAATGCACAGTCCAGTTACAGTACGTGTTTACATGATGACTGACCTTACTTTTAAGAATATATATATATATATATATATATATATTATGGTAAGAGAAATTTCATTAAAGAAAAGTAAAGGTACAACTAGGTGAAGAGCTGGTTGGGATATTCGCTCAAGATCACATCAAAGGCAAAGGGCTTCAGATGGCAGGCAGATGCTATTTGTGCATGGATGCTGAGGAGGATGTGCTTGATCTTTGTTTTGATTGTTGCTTTACAAGGTTCATTTGGAGTTATTTCTTCAGTTTATTCAGAGTTGATATGTGGGCATGAAGGTTTCCAAAAGAAACTTTTGCATCATGGCCTGTTTTGCAAGGGTAGGATTCAAAACTATTATGTGGAGTTGTGTTCCTTTTGCAGTTTGTTGGGAGGTCCAGAAAGAGAGGAATGGAAGAATTTTTTTATGACCAGTCCAGGTGCAAGGATTAATTCTGTTCAATTGTTAAGAAGAGGATTTTGGATTGGATTTTGATTTTATCAGAATTTGCGGGAGTTAACAAAGAAACTTTTGGGGGAGGCTTTTGGTCAGCCTTAGAATTGGAGATGGGCTGAAATGAATATGTATTTGTTTGATTTTGCTTTTTTGCTGGGTGATCTCTCATCACCTCCTGGCTGTACTTATTTTTTATCTTTTCTACAATATTAATGAACTATCTTATTTATTTATTTATTATAAAAAATACCAAGAGTAGATTAGTTTATACTCTATTTTTGATTTTGTATTCTACTAAATACCACTTAGTATTGGTTGCAGATTATAGATACTCACTATGTTTATCTTCAGGTTTGGCATATTCAATCCTGCGATTGTCTATGATCATTTGGGAGAAATATTTTCAGCACTAATATTTGGAAGCTTCATCTTTTGCATCTTTTTATACATAAAGGTGAGGATTTGTTGTTGTACTGACTACCATGCAAATGCTTCAGTTTTGGTTCAATTATTTGTCCTACTTCATTACCTTTCTAATTAATGAATTTATATTTACAAGGGTCATTTGGCACCATCGTCTACTGATTCTGGGTCTTCAGGAAACTTGATAATTGATTTCTACTGGGTATGTGTTTTGAGCTGTTGATGATTTGAACTTGCTGTGTTCTGTTGATATTCATTGCATACATTTCTACTTCTTTGCAACTTTTATCCCTTTTTCTAAGGGTGTCTTTGCTATATCATACTATTTCTGGATCAGCAACAGACATTGCTTTAGGTATTTAACCTGTAGCTCACTGGTTGATTTTTTTTTTTTTGATGAATAACAATTCCTTTTATTAATATAAACAACAAAATGTACAAAGTTCCATACATTTTAGAGTTTGGAGAGTATAGTCACTATCTTTTCAGATTAAGTTTACAATTGAACCCCAAAAAACTAATTCCTAATTGGCCCTTGTTTAGCTAATGCATCAGGCATTTAGCTGATCTTTGAACCCATTGAACTTTCATTCGAATATTTCTAATCAGCCTCCTGAGTTTCTTGTGCTCATTTCTATATGATCACAAGTTCTTTCATTGTTCAGCAGCCACCCAATTACTGCCTTTGAGTTGTGTTCAATGATTGGTTTACTCAAGCTCAGATCCTTTGCTCACTGTGCTCCATAAATTACAGCCATAAGCTTTGCCCTTATAGAACCTCCACTCCAATCAGACCGGAGAACACCACAATAACATGACCTTCTTCATCTCTAAAGATTCCTCCCATCCCTGAAGGCCTGGATTCCCAAGGTTGCTGCCATCAAAGCTAAGCTTTATGAAGCCCTCTCCGGTGGTGTCCAACTTCTATGAATCATAATCCTTTTTGATGAAGTTCCAACCACCTGCTCCCATTTCCTAACAATATCATCTGTTGAAAAAGATGGAAGATGTCCAATGACTTAATCCAATATTCCACCCTAGCTGTGATATACTCAATTAGTGCCTCCATACTTTTTTCCTACTCCTTAAAGATTCTTACATTTCTTTCTTCTCAAACTGTCCAGATAATTGCAGCTCTATTTCTCGTTGACATACGTCTTTAGCACATTGGTTGATTTGTTACATCTTCATCATGAGGTTACATATTTGAAGCTAGCTAATACCCCACCAGAGAAAAAGAAAACATATAATATGTTTTCATTTTTTTGTTTATTTTATGTTTGGTTGAGGTGCAATAGATTATTTCTTAAAAGTAGGTTGTTGGTATTTTACATGATTTAAAAGAAAGGTGTTTATGCAAAATACGTCTCTCCCTCATTCTCAAAAAAGAAATATTTTCTGTCATTTAGAGAAAAAAATAAAGTCAACGATATTGTATGGAGAAGAATATTAAGCAGTGAAGAAACATCATTTCCAAAAATGAATGTAGATGAAATGTGAATTTTATGATGGATGACTAGGAAAATTAGGAATGATTCAAATGAACATAGTGGGAACCTAGGAGAGTAGTGCCAGTGAGTGATAAAATGAAGGAAAGTAGACTAAGATGGTTTTGTCATGAGCAGGGAAGATAATCTACAGCACCAGTGAGAAGAAGTCATCTGTTGCAATTTGAAGGGTCTAGAAGAGCTTGGGGCAGACCAAAAGGGACATGGGGTGAACTGAAGATAGATAGATAGATACACACACACACACACACAAGTCATTGTATTATAGGAGGTAGAGGACCCCTCAAAACCTCAAAATAAAGATATACAAAAAGATTGGTTGAATACTGCAGTGGTCTAACTTATCAAAAAAAAATACTGCATTTGTGCAAGATGTTTTTCTAGTTTATATTGCATGCTGATAATGAGTTACTCCTGTCTGAATATAGAAGAATCTAATGGCATGTATTTCTCTTGCATCAATTGCATATTCCTTTTAAGTTTATTTGATAGTAAATAAAAGAAGTTTCCGTACTTGAAAGAAGAGAGTATAATTGCAAATAGGGTCCATTAGTTAGCATCCCAAGTCAAAATAAGTTCATGAAGATGAGAAATGACAGAATGGACTACAACTAACTGAAAACTGAACTACAAATATACATAAGAAAACACTGTCTGAAACAGCTCCAAAGTATCCCAAAATCTTGAACCAAATGCATCTCTATCAAAACCTGAAAATTCTGGAAACAACAGAACCTAATAGACAATCATATTCCTTATATCAGCACATAGTTTTTCAATGCTGCTTCCTATCTTCAAATAATGTTTTGTTTGTTTTGTTTCTCTCTCCAAATGTGCTGGCAGATAGCTAAAGGAATACAGCTCCAGAGTATTTTTGCTTTATTCTTCTTTGAAAACTTGCCTATGATGAGAAAATTTCATTTGGGTTACAAGGATGAAGCACATGATCTCTTGTATAACAGTACAACACCAATCAAAAGATAATAACATCTTACATCATTTACTTGTTCATGCAGGGAATGGAGTTGTATCCTCGAATAGGTAAAGACTTTGATATAAAGGTTTTTACCAACTGCAGATTTGGCATGATGTCCTGGGCAGTTCTTGCTGTGACATATTGCATCAAGCAGGTTAGTTGCTCTAGAGTGCAAGTATCTAATCTATTTTGTGTGGATCCTCTAAATAGTGGCATTACCATGTTGGATTAAAACATTCTGCTAGATTTTGTTGTCTTCTTGGTTACTCCTATGTGTACATTTATTCCTTTCTATTTTTTTGTACAACATAAATTAACATATACTATATATAATGGCTTGTTGTTATCTTATTGAGTGCTTTTAGGTAGTGAAACATATAAACTAAACTTTTTTTACTCTTTTCAATGGATGCATGATAGATGTTTTTTTTTGATAAATAATGCATGATAGATATTAGATACTATCCTAGTGTCTAATACCACAATTTTTTTGGTAGTAAATACCACAAATTATTACTTCAGTGACTAAATGGAAATTATCTTATGAGTTGGTAAGTAATAGGAACTGTACCGTTTAGTGAGTGTTTGACACTGATGCATATCACAAGTGTCCTGCTTCATCTGCTTGCCACCAAAAAATGTTTTTTGAAGAAGTGTTAATGCAAGGATTATGTCTTGGGATTTGTGAGGGGGGGGGGGGTCTTGAATCATCAAAATGATATTTCTTGAATTACCAAAATTTGAAAACGTTGACAGCTTTTCTGAGATGTCATACATGTTACAATGTAAATATTATAAAAATAAAGTCAAGGAACTTTAAACACCCAATCAGCATGCATCTCCACCAAATATGCTTTTTATGTGTTTTTCAATAAAATAGGGGGTGGTGTTCCTCATTCTTGATAAAATGGAATGAGGTCTGTAGTGTAAACCTGTTTTCTTAGTGATTGAATGGTAGGGTTTACCTTGACACCCAATCAGATTGTATTTTCCTTTTCTATTTTAATGGAATTTCTTCTTTACTCTTCAAAAAAAGAAAAATGGAATGCTTGTGAAACGCAAAGGTGTCAAACACCCCCTTAGTGGCCATATCAGATCAGAACTCTTGGATTAATTCATTCATCTCCTGATTGAATAATCTTAAAAATAGAAAACAATAAGAGTAATGATTGAAGAGAAGGAAGCAAGAAGAGACAAAGAAGAAGAATGAATGTAACATTCCTTGGGTTGGTCGATATGCAATTTTTGTGTATTGAGAGTTTTGAAACATCAAAACTCATGCCTCCTTTTACTTTTTCATTCCTATAGGTTGGAGTGGGTACTGTACAACAAGTATTAATGTTTGAAAAACTTTAAAAACTTTAAACTATTAATAATGTGCGTATCAGTGACTTTAAGGCTGTTTTTGGCTTGAAAGAAAAAGTAGGGAAAGGTAGGGAAATCCTACCTTTTCCTACATTTTCTTTCAAACCAAACACAGCCTAAAAGTCAATTTCGTATCATATACACACTGACATGTTGCAATATTTTGAACTTTGCTCTATATGCTTAACTCTTTAAACATGGTGAAATTACATCACTGCTCTTGTTAAGAATAATAAGAAAAATATTCATATCTTTCTAATGATCCCTAGAAATAATCCTATTGGATTTCTCAACAATTTTTTGAAGAATTGTCATATATTTTAAATTATCCACAATTCTTTTGGTTGACTACTTGACTGTTGGGATTAAGAACCACCAGTATGGGACTCATGGGATCAAGTTCTATGGTCTACCCATCACAATCATTAGTCTTCTTGCATTCTCCTTATTGTAGACCTGGTATACACCTTTTTTCCCTTTTATTTTCTTTTTCTTAGATCTCTTTGCATGACTTGCGTGGGTAGCCCTAACTTGTACTCATGTAACTTTAGTTTCTTATAGCTGGTTACTTGTACGTAATGACATGCATATTTATTCCTTTGTTTCTTTTCCACTTTCTTCAATATACAGTATGAGGAGTATGGCCGAGTAGCTGACTCTATGCTAGTAAATACTACATTGATGCTGGTATATGTAACCAAGTTTTTTTGGTGGGAAGCTGGTTACTGGAATACAATGGATATTGCACATGATCGAGGTATGCAGACTTTTATATTGTTTATGCTGAACTTATCAATACCTATTAGCATGGGTAGAATAAAAAGGTTATAGACATCTCCAAGTAACTATTTTAATGAGATAATATTATATTTAATCCAATCAATGATGGTCTTATTAAGGGAAAATGCCTTCAGTGAACTAATTATTAAAAAAAAAAAAGTCAGTGAACTGCTCACATGGCATAACTGTGTTGCTAAGAAAAAACATGAGGCCTCATAAAATTAATGTTTTTAACCTATCATTACCAAACTGGTTGGACTAGACTACTAGTCAAGCCATCCTCTAGTCAGGATTTTAGGCCCATTTCCCCCCAAACCCAGAAATTAGCTTGCCGAACAGTTTTTATAAAATATTGGCTAAGGTGCTGGTTTAGAGGTTGAAAAAGGTGCTTAGTAGCGTGATTGCTAAAAGCCAATTTGTATTTGTGCTGGGTTGTCAAATGTTGGACAATGTCTTGGTGGCTAATGAGCTGATTGACTCTAGAAAAAGGGAGGGGAAACCTGGGTTGATCTGTAAGTTGGAATTGGAAAAGGCCTATGATCATTTTATTGAAAATGCTTGGACTTGTGCTGGAAAGAATGAATTTTGTCCAAAAATGGAGAAACCAGATTAAGGTTTGTATCACTTCCACTAAATTCTCTGTTCTTGTAAATGGGCAATCATCTGGTTTCTTCAAGAGTTCTGAGGGACTTAGACAAGCCCATCCCATCTCCCCTTGCTGTTCATCTGTCTGATGGAGATCCTAACCAACTTTATCCTTTAGGTTGGGGAGGTGGGGATTTGGGAGGGGTTTGAAGTGGTTCCTGGTAGGGAAAGAGTGCAGCTCCTTCAGTTTTCTGATGACACTCAATGTTTTATTGATGCGAAGGAAGTGCAATTAGAGATGATGCTGGGTGTCCAAGCTGGTTTTAAGTTCTGGCAGGTTTCAATTGGACTATTGCAGTAAAAGTAAGCTTAATTCCAGTGGGAAATGTGGAAAAATTTGATGCTTTGGCTGAGACTCTTGCATGTCAAAAGTGGGCTTTCTACCAACTAAGTTCCTGGGCCTCCCTCTGGGGGCTAAATGTACCTCGTCTCTGATCTGGGATCCAGTTCTGGAGCAAGCATCTAGAAAAGAAGCGTCCTTCAGCTAAATACTTGTCCCTGGGTGGTAGGATCACCCTCTTAAAGAGGCCTGGGGACCAAGGAGGCCTGGGGAGGTCGAAGATTTTTGACAATGCTTTGTTGGGAAAATGGATTTGGAGATGGAAAGAGGGAGGTGGAGAGATATAATTGCTGCTAAATACGATACTGACAGAGGAGATTAGATAACTATCTCATCTTTACCCCCTTTAGGTTTGCTCATTATGGAGGGAAATTATGGACATTCTTCCGAATTTCAGCACAGGGCTTAGCCTAAGTTGGGTAATGGTGAAAGACTTGCCTTCTAGAAACCCTTGGTGTAGCAATTGTCCTCTTTCAGAGTTGTTTCCACAACTGTTTCAGATTGCTGAGAATCACTATGATCCTTGTCACCCTGGTGTTTCCTTGACAACATGAATGTCAGCCATCCGAATGGTGTATCAAAATTTCATCTAATCTAGCCCATCTAAATGGTGCACTAAGGTTTCACTTCTTTTGATAATCATGTACTAAGGTTTCATTTAATCTAACCCATCCAAATGATATACCAAATCAGTTGAAAGATCTAGGCCATCAAAGTGGTCTCATAATGTTTTTTTTATGATAATTGAAATATGAATTTATTGGCAGGAAATGAGGACTATTACAAGCACCCCAAGGAGAGGCACAAGATGCGACCTCTCCTTACAAGGAAGATTACAATTTACACACTAGAAAAGGGATTACAAAGCAGCCCAATATAGATTTTCCCTGTTAACCCCTTGTTTGGAAAGATGAGCAGCCAAAGCATTCACCAATCTACCCACCCAGTGACAGCTAATGTTCATGTTTCTTATTAACCACTTAGCTTTCTTTAAGAGGTCCTTGTAGCACCAAACCACTGAGTTCGAGTCTGCCAGCTGCCCTACAACAACTTTAGGATCTCCTTCAATTATTAGATTTCCACACCCAGCTGATTTGCAATATGGATACCTTGTAAGGCTGCTAATAGTTCAACCCTATTAGAGTCTCCTAAACCCACTGGGCTAGAGAATAAGGCTAAAATGTTACAGTCCTTATCTCTCAACACCCCTCCTATTCCAGAAGGTTCTGGGTTACCCTGACCACTTCCATCAAAATTCAACTTTAGACTTCCTTCAAGAGGAGGAACCCACTTTGCATAGACCTTATCCTTCCTGGAAGAACTAACTGCCATAGCTGAGCAACTACTCCAAAGGTCATCAAAAGAAAAGGATTGGAAGGAATCCACAGTTCTCAACCAATGTATTGTTTTTGTCAAAATGCAGTCCTTAACATTTAATATACTACTTTCTTTTTCTTGAAAGATTCTTGCATTCATTTCTTTCCAAATTGTCCAGAGGAAAGCTGCTCTCCACATACTCCCTCTTTTAGTGGGCCACACAAAAAAAGATGGAACATACAGTGGACTTACATTTTGTAGGTGAGTTTGACCTGCACCCAAACAAAGCAATCCAATTCCAAATAGCTGCAGCAAAGGTGCATGAAATTAGTAAGTGGAAACAATCCTCACCATTTGCTTTGCAAAGAACACACCAGTTAGGAGACAAACATATAAAAGGCCTTTTCTTCTGCAGACAGTCTAAGGTATTGATTTTTCCAAAAAAAAAAAACCTCTAAGTAGAATACCACAATTTTAAGGGGAGCATGCCTAGTCCAAACCTCAATCGAAAAAACCCTTTGACTAGAAGAACAAAGGGGCTTAAAGAAAGAAGCATAGGAGAAGGAACCTTTTGGATAGGGGATCCAAATCCTCCTATCTAGACATGCTAAAGTTCATTGTACCTTAAGCCTCTTCTAAAACCAAAATTCCAACTTAAAGACAAAGGGAGGACAAGAGAGAGGAGCAAGCTAGAAAACCTTCTTCTTAAACAAGGAAATGGAGTAAAGAGAAAGAGGTCCTTTAGAGTTGAATTACCCACCCAAATATCTTCCCAAAAGAATACAAAATTACCAGAGTGAATATCATACCTAATAAAATTTAGAAAAAGAGGAAGTATGCCATGAATTGCTTTCCATGGTGTAGACAAGGTAGCTTGACATGATACACCAACATTCTAACCATTTTCCATCGACCCATGAATACTAGCTACCACCTCATGCCAAAGTCTTTCTCTCTCTCTCCAATGGTCATCTCCATAGCCACTTCCCCAATAGAGTTGCGTTCTTAGGGACTAAATTGCTTATTCTCAGTCCACCTTCTTCCTTAGTTCCACATACTAATTCCTACCTTATTAAATGGTACCTTTTCTCTTCCCATGGTTCCCAAAGAAAGTTTGTCATCAATCTTTCCAGTTTCTTGACCTCCCTAGCAGGAACACAAAGAAGTAATAAATTGGTAAATTAGCTAAAGTGGTTCTTAACAAAGTTATTCTACCCCCTAGAGAGATATTATTCTTCTTCCAAGTTGCCAGTCTTTTTTCTAACTTTTTCAAGATTGAAGTCCAAAAACAGCTTTCCTTTGGGTTAACACCTAGTGGAAGACCTAGGTAGGACATGGGTTAGGAAGAAGTAGGACAGTCTAAACACTTTGCCAAAATATCAATAGCCTTATCATCCATATTAATATCCACTACACAACTCTTGTCCAGGTTTTTCTTCAAATTGGATACACTCTCAAAGTGTGTTATCAATCCTTTTGGGTTCCTCACCTTACTCAAATCTCCCCCTTCATAGAAAATAATAATGTTATCAGCAAATTGGAGATGGGTTACTAGAACCATATTCCTACCTATCCTCTAATCCTTTATTACATCTTCCCTATCAGCCTTTGTGATTAATCTACCAAATACATCAGCTACAAGGATGAACAGAAAGGGCGATAGAGAGTCACCTTGTCTTAGGCCTCTACAAACTGGAAAGAAGTCCCTGGCCACATCATAGACAAATATTGAAAAATGATAGGAACTAACACAATCCTTCACCCAGTTACACCATCTTTCTCCAAAACCACACTTTCTTAATACCTCTCTTAGGAAGTTCCAATCCACCAAGTCATAAGCCTTCTCTAAGTCCAACTTATAGACAAAACGCTGTTGGCTGGACCTCCTCATTTGCTCCACACATTCATTCTTTTGATGAATAAGGATAATTTTATTAATTCATAGAATTAGTTTGATACAATCCTCCCCTGGAGGGGCGGTGCGAGCTACGACCCCTCCTACCAAAGTACAAGGCAAAAGAAATAAAAATAGTTACACTTGAGCCCAGAATAAAGATTCCTTATTTTCCCCTTGCTTGGCTAGATAATCAACTAGTGTGTTTTCTGATCTCCCCACCCATTGTATTCTTACATATATATTATGTGTTAGCCACTTAAATTTTTGGAGTTCATGCTTGTAGGACCACACTGCATTACTTGGGTCCTTCAGCCAACCCACTACCACGTTGGAATCCCTTTTAATCACCAACCTTTCCACACCTAACACAGATGCAAACTGCACTCTTGAATGACCACTAGTAATTCTACATTGGTAGAATCTCTAACTCCCAAGGTATCGGAGTAGTACAGTGAAATCTCTCCCAGATCGTTCCTTATAACTCCTTCCATACCATAGGGACTTGGGTTGCCTTGATTGCTCCTATCGAAATTCAGCTTCAAGAAACCTTCTGTAGGAGGTGCCCAACTAGCTGCTACCCTAATCTTTGTGGAAGAACACCTTGCTACTACTGACCAATTTCTCCAAATATCATTAAAGGAGAATTGGTTAAATAAATCCATCGTCTTTAGCCAATGTATTACCCTATTCAGAATACAGTCCTTTAAGTCTTGGCAGATTTTCTCCTTTTTCTTGGAATGTTCTTGCATTCCTCAATTACCAAATTGTCTAAATTAGT